TGAATATATTTGCGTAACCATAACTACTAAACTTAGGTTTGGTCCAGAGTGAAGAGGTTTCTGTGGTAGCTATGTAATGAAGTTGTGCAAGCAGGAACATGAACAGTTGAACGATGCTGTAATGGTTAGTACTCTTGGCATGATAATAAGAGTACAAATGTCAAAGGGGATTACAAGTATTTTGCAGTTACTTCCTTAAAACAAAAACTCAGTCTCTGAAATAAATAAATAAAAACAAACTAAAAAATAAAGAACCCTCAATACCTAAAATAAGACCTCAAATTTATATTTTTAATCGTAACAACTCATCAGTTTTCTAAAATCCCAAGGAATTCCAGCCCCCACATTTCCTTGGGATGGAAAAATGCCTTCTGATGCCTAATGGTGATCCTTCCAGTAATTTTTTTTTAACATAAGCACATTTTCTATTTTGTAATCCAATTTTGCCCTGTTACAGTACTGTGGAATTTATTTAAAAGCAATTGTTAAATGTAATTAATACATATATATTATTTTAACACATGAAAATTCTATTATACTCAGGTTCTCTTACATGGCTGACATCTAAGCACCTTTATTAATATAAGGCAATGCAACTAACATATGTCGTATGTGTCCTGTCTGCCACAGAAGCCATATCTTGCAGCCACCACTAATCTTTGCTTTCAAGAAAGATGAAATGAGTAATCTGTTGGATAATTATGAAATAAACTACAATAGGAAGCAAAATCTTCTCAGCACTTTGTGACTGTTTCATGCTCGACCATGACTATTCCCAAAAAAGAAAGTACTTAAAAAGTCCATAATTAATTTTCAATGTTTCTAAAATATAATATGAAAATCGAACCATTTCAGAAGTAACTGTAAGACGGAAGTATACAACCCTGAATTCAGGCAAAAATACTCAGAATTTGCACTGAAGAATTGACATAAGGTAATGAAGATTTTCCTAAAACTTCTGCTGAACACTATTCTTCTCATTCACTGTCATGATCAACTAACATTGATCTACACATTTTTTTTTCATTTCTCTCTGAAATTTACTTTAATGCTCCATAATTTTCTCATGGCATTCTTCACATCCTCATTTCTCAGTGTATATATCAATGGGTTCAGCATAGGGGTGAAGATGGTATAGAAAACAGCAACTGTCTTATCTTCTGAGAAGGTAGTGGAAGGTCTTAAATAGAAGAAGATACAAGGTCCAAAAAATATAAGCACTACTGTAATGTGGGAGGCACAAGTGGACAGAGCTTTGAGGCGCCCTTCAGAGGTATGAGTTCTCAAGGAGACTAATATTACAATATAAGATATCATCAGAACAACAAAACAGAGCAGGGAGAGCATTCCACTATTGGCAACCACTACGATACCAATGATGTAAGTATCAGCGCAAGCTAGTTGCAGCAAAGGGTGCACATCACAGAAAAAGTGATCTATTACATTTGGTCCACAGAAGGGAAGCTGGGTGGTCAGGAGAGTCTGTACTATGGAGTGAAGAAAGCCCCCTGTCCATGAGGCCACTACCATCCAGCTACATACATGCTTGTTCATAATGGTAGTATAATGGAGAGGTTTGCAAATTGCTATGTAACGATCGTAGGCCATCATTGTGAGGAGGAAGATCTCAGTGCAACCAAGGAGATGGACTAGGAACAGCTGTGCAATGCAGCCATGGAAGGAGATAGTTTTCCTCTCAACGAGTAAATCTGCCATTAGTTTGGGGGCTGTAACAGAAGCATAGAAGATATCTACAAAGGAGAGGTAACTTAGGAAGAAATACATGGGGGAGTTCAGAGTCTGGCTTCTTTGAATTGTGACAATGATGGTGAGATTTCCTAATACAGTAGCAATATAAAATAATAGAAACAAACCAAAACACACTTGTTCTAATTCCTGGTTCTGGGTGAGTCCCAAGAGAATGAATTCAGAAACATTATGTATATGCTCCATGTATTCAGGATAGGTAATGACCTCGAGCTTTACAGCAAAGTCACCTGCCATGACACAAAAAAGGAGACCATTATCATCAATGAAAAATCAACAAGAGACTAAATCAATATTCCATGTTGATCTTGAGCCTCTGCACCTTACTTTTAAGATTTGTTGAATTAAATGGAGGGAGAGCAGCCTGTTGGGGAGGTTTCTGCCTAAGTGGGAGAATGAGTACAGATTAGAACTTACAGGCTCTTTGAGCCAAACCAGTGTCCAACAAACGAAGATTGAACTCCATAGTTTTAGCTCTTCTCCTGCCACTCATACCTCCCTTTGATGGCTGCCCAGGAGAAGGGAAGAAGAGGAGTAGGGGACTCCTTGCATTGTCCCTTGGGCTCTTAAGTGTCCATTTTAGGCATATAACTGGTACCATTTTTTTTAACATAGATAAATAGGAATGAAATCTCCTATTTGCAAATGGGGATCTACACATTTTCTAGTGAAAATATCATGAATCCATCTACTGTGGTCATGAAAAAGATTTATATTAATTTTTTTTTTAGGAATATAAGAGAGAACTGCCTTTTAAAACTAACCTCTACTAACTGTAACAGAAGTTCACTTTACTTCCATGGTGATGGTGGTGGTAAGGTGTGTGCGTGTGTGTGTGTGTGTGTGTGTGTGTGTGTGTGTGGGGTGAGGTCCAGAGAGTAACTTCCATGATTTTATACAGGTACCATTCTTCCAGAACTCAATGTTTGCAAATGCTGAAGAGGTACCTGATGGGAATTTGTCAAGTGATTTTTTTTCAGCAGTCATGATCCTGGAGTTTCCTCTTGAACAAACAATACACAATACAATTTTTTTTCTTAAAATGTATACCATATTTATTGTCTAAAAAGAACAAACTATTCACAACAGAGGCTTCATCTTAGACAATATACACTTGATGGAGATTATCAACCCACATGTTAACTGAACCACAGTCAATATTTGTTATAATGCTGATATATGTAACATGTTTCTCACCATAATGTTCCTACTTTGGATATTCTGGAAAATTGGCATAATCATTTTGTCCATGGTATTTTACTGTATAATTCTGGGGAGGGGGTGGAGGGTGGGGCAAACAAAAAATAGTGTATGGCCATATTTCACCTGGATGCAGCAATACTCTTTCTATGACATGCTCTAATTTTCTTCTACAGTTTTAGAAAATAACTGGATGAGACTATTCTGTTTTACACATCTATAACAAATAAGAATTGACTAATAATAGGTGCAAAAATAAGGAAGAATTTTAGGATTCAGGCAAAGTCTTATTAATTTTATTACTTTCCAACAGCAATATTTGTGATGTAAATTTAAAATATATATGCCAAACAGATAGAGCCATCCACTCTCATATGGAAGGAGCCCTAATGAAGATTCCACATTCAGAATCCATTTTTGAGTTCCCAGTTCTGCATCCTTGCTCCAGTTGTTTTCAGCTGGATTCTGCACTGATGCAGAGGGTGTGTCCAGGTGTGTATGGATTTTTGGTTTCCTGGGGACAACCAGGAGTAGTGTACCTTGTGCCACAGCTACTTTTTCCTGGGGAATACCTGTGCCATGAGCACTTTCATGTGTGGCAAGTTACTGTGGGAGTGGTAGGGGAGACTGGGGTGAGCTCTGGACTGGCCCCAGCAGCTTTACCTGGGGTCCTGGAGGCCTCTTGGGGCTGCAGCTGTGACAATCCTGCTGGGGAGCCTGGCCAGCAGCTGCAGCATGGCTCCAGGTGGCCCAGTTCTGCTTTTCAGCAGCTCATGCTACCCGAGCATGCACTGCTCTGTTTTTTGTTTTTCCCCACAGTTTTTTCTGACCCCCGGATATCCAGGGGCCAAAAAAAACCCCCCACAGGAAAAAAAACAGAGAAGCACATGCTCGGGTAGCATGCCCTTTCAGTGCAGAGAACACCAGTCTGTGTGGTATGTGACACTACAGACATGTTTGTGGTACCACATACCCCACGACCATGCTCATCTGGACGCACCCAGAGAGGCCATATCAGTGCAGTAAATGGAAGACTTGATTTCATGTAGTACCAATAAGTGCAATGAGAAAGTAATTACTAAGAACACAAGGAGCTCAAAAATAGAATCACACCAAGATGCTTAATTCATTTATATAAATAAGTAAACAAACAAACAAACAAATAACTAACTAACTAACTAAATTATTGTGGCTCCAAGACTTCCAAAGCAGTGCAATAATTAGTTCACATTTGCAAAGGAGGAAGTTAGGTTGCATAATTTTATAATCATCCCTGAAAGATTAATGGTTTGGATTGGACATTTGAATCCCAAGAAATGCTTCCTTTCTTATATACTACATGGATAAAAGTTTTTTAAAGGGTCACTATAAAATATTGAGTAGCACTGGAAAACTTACATTGATTGTATGTACAGATTACAGTTGTTCCCTGGATGGTGCTCTTGTTTGGAGTTTCACTCCCCAGCTTTTACTAACAATGAAGAAGATTTTGCCTTCTGTCATATGCTGTCTATAAAGATAAGTGATGGACAGCTTAGACAAACAGGAAGATAATTTTTTGGTCTGACTTCAGAATGATTCTTATCCACATTTCTTCCAGTTCAGAAAACCACCTTCTGCCTCAATGGGCAGGAACTGATCCAAAACTGGACCCTTCATTCAGAGAAAATAAGGGTTGCAACAGGATCCTTGGGGAAAAAAAAATGCCTTCCTTCTGACAGCAAAGTTATAGGAAATATATTTAAAGTCAGCCACGTAGCAGTATAACATAACTGCTCTGGCTAATGAGCCCCCAGAGGCATTTAGTGGGTCATTGGCATGAGAAATGGGTGAGAACACAGCTGAACCTTATCATTTTGTACACATATATGAGGCAATCTTTGAATATTGTGTTTCCAGGTCCAGGCTGTCCAAATAATGTTTTTAGCTGTTCTTGGACTCAGGATTACCCAGACTTTTTAGAAGTTTAGTGTGATTCTGTTGAGCATAACAACACCTAACTGCCTTGGGAACCTAAGTATCTTTTTTCAAAAGCAATGAGGATCACCTCTTCAATTACCTTTTCTGAGATAAGATACTTCTTAGATAGAGAGAATTAAAATTTACATCTTTGCCCTTCTGCTAGAGTACCCTAACCTCCATGCTATAAGGCAGCCTGCCTGGATCAGAGCACACCATCCAACCCTGCTGTTGAAGGTAAGCCCCTGGTCCATTAAGAATACAGGCAGTCCTAAATCTTACAACGCAATTAGTTCCTGAAACTTGTCTCTTAAGTTGAAATGCCATAACTCAGAACCAATTTTCCCATAGGAACAATGTTATAAATGGGGGATTGGTTCCTTTATGACGGTCCACACAGCTGCATCCAGCTGGTAAGTCTGTTGTGGTGGGGGGAATGGTTGGTTGGGGGGAGATCAATGCCCCCACAGTGAGGGAGGGATTGGGGCTGGGGCTGGAGCTGGGACCCAGACTGGGGCAGGTGCTGCCCAGGGAGGTTGTGGGGTGGCTTGTGCCACTGTGCGCCGCCAGTCCATGAGCTGCTGGTGTATAGGCTTGTTTGGTGGCTCTCACTGCTGCTCCCATAACCAGTCCAGGAGGGAATGGGGCAGGGGCATGTGCCCCAGGATCTGAGTGGGCTGGGCAGGGCTGGGGCTGCACCAGGCAGAAGGTGGAAGTTTCTGGGAGCAGGGGCTATGCCCCACATTGCTTGCCCAGCCGGCACAGGGCTGGCACAAGACTGAGCCACTGTGCTGCCTCTGGACAAGTGGTGTGCAGTGACAGGACCTGGCCTGGCATCCCTGCACCTCCCTGGCTGGGCAAGCAGTGGCAAGACATGGGGGGTGGGGTATGTGCCCCTGAATCGGGGTTGGGTGGGTGGTGGTGTGGGAGCTATAGGGGGTTTGCAGCAATTTTTTAGGTGGCACACGGCCTCCTCTGTGCCTTGTCACTGCTCGCTCAGCTGGGGTGAAGCTGCTGCTAATCTGGGATGTGCAGGGAGGCTGGGATGGTTCCTGCCGCTGCACACTGCTTGTTTGGAGGCAGCGCAGTGGCTCAGTCTTGTGCAGGCCCCATTCTGGCTGGGTGAGTGGTGGTGGTGGTGGGGTCATAGTCCCCACTCCGAGTGCCTTCTGCCTTCCAAATTCTGCCCAGAGCTCAGCCCAGTGCAGCCCTGGCCCCATCCACCCCACTCAGATCCTACGGCATATGTCCCTGCCCCATGCCCTCCTGGACCAGTGGTGGGAGCAGCAGCAAGAGCCGCTAGACAAGGTGCCACATAAGCAGCTCCCAGACTGGCAGCATGCAGCACCACAAGCCGACCCACCCCCTCCCTGGGCAAAGCTTGCCCCAATCCAGGTCCTAGTCCCAGCCCCAATCCCTCCTTTGCTGTCGGGGCATTGATCTGCCCCTCCACATCCCTTTCCTCTCCCCCACCACAACAGACTTACCAGCTGGATGCAGCTGTGTCAACCATTGTAAAGGTGAAACCGGCATGGGAACCTTGAAAAAAGGTGTCAATTTATAGATGTCATAAATGCCATTTGTCGTAACTCAAAAAGCCATAACTTGAGGACTGCCTGTACAAGATTAATGGGGCTAGAAAGGGATCCAGTGAGAAAGATCCTGACTCTATTCCACTGATGTGGAGAATTTTTTGAGTAAGTGCTGTCCTGGGTTCTGACCCCTGCTCTCTGGATTTATGCATTGACTGTTGTTAGTCCATGATGGCTTGGACTTCCCTCTCCCAAAGGAATGCTCTACTCCTTGGTCTACAGAATTAGGTTCTCTTTGAGTGTTGTCTCTCCCTGAATCATTTAGATGTTTACGGATGGGAGAATAGATTTATTGGGTTGGAAGTTACCTCAATATTCATCTAGTCCAACCACCCAAGAACTTTGGATTCTTGGCTTCACAGCTTGAGTTGTATGTGTAATAGGTGCTGATTATTTTATAGTCTGGTGTTCAGCCCATTTCTACCCATGAGAATTTTAATTCTCTTAGGCTAAGGATGGTTTCTTGGTGTATGTTCTGACTCTTAGATTATGTGAAAAGTTGTCAACAGAGCCACCACGAGCAAGGGTTAATCTCAAGTGATTCTATCTGCATTCCATGCAGCTATGTGTGGTCGGGCTGGTGCTTGCATTGGTGAATACCAGCCCAGCCCCACCCCCAGAGCTGTCACAGACAGGAGACAGAAAAGCTCTATCTCCACCCTGAGCAGCTGGGCAGGGGGGAAGGGATCTCCACTTCTCTTGCCTTGCATGCTCCCCCCAGCTACCCCTGCTGGGGTCTTGAGGGGAGCTGGGCCAGGCGCACATAATGGGGGGTGTCTCCTTCCCCCCACTACCATGCAACTGTCTTGACCACAGCAACCTTGTACCTGCAGGACTTGGAGCTGGGGTGGGGGGTGGGGTGGGAAATGAAGCTTCCCTCCACCTAATGGGCCTGGCCTGGCTACCCCTGCTGAGGTTTTGGGGGCAGCTGGGTCAGGCCCATAAGTTGGGGGCAGGGGAGGTCATGGCAGCCTTTGCTGATGGCAAGATGGTCAAATGAAGGGCAGGAGGAAGAGAGCCCCACACTGTGTGGGCCCAGCCTGGCTCCCCCTGAAACCACAGCAGTAGTTGGGGGGTGCCCATTGGGGGAGTCTCTATGCTTTCATTTCCCTCCCAGCCACTGCTGACAGTCACTAGCTGATGCAGAGGTTGGGGCTGGGGAGAGGGGGATGGGTCTGGCAGCTCCCTGGGAGGCTGCTGGAGCACCCCCACTTGCTGGCTTGGGCCAGCACAGGCATGGTTCAAGCCTCCCCACCTAACAGGCCTTGTGTAAAGCACCTTGAGTTTTAACTCCCCAGTAGGATGCCTGAACTTCTGTATACACCTGTTTTCCTGTGGTAGATGCTCATGGAATGAAGTTACAGGCCTCAACAGTAGCATGCTAAAC